GGCATTGTTCATAATATATATAACAATTCATTTAAACTGACAACGTCTCTATAAAGCAGGACTACTCTTAGCCACTCTTTTTATGTCTAAGAAAAAGTGAAGATATTTTCAGTAGGAAGAGAAGTGTGGGAAGCTGGAAGGAGACCCAGGAGTGGTCCCCCGGGACAACATATGAGCCTGGTTTCTGAATCACGGTGTAACTTTGCCTCTGGAACGCCAGGTAGTTTTCTGGGGTCTGGGAAGAATGACTTTTTTAAGCACCATCTCGGTTCTCCCAATGACTCCCTCCCCCACTTCTCTATTTCCCTAATTGCTAACAGGCAGATTTCTTCCTCATCAGGCGTTAAACAGACCTCATGTTTTAAAAGCCAGCCCCTATACCACGCCTTGCGCAAGTGTGAAAAACACCCTCACCCAAATATCCGTTTTAAATTGGGAAGCGGATTGGTAGGCTGGAGGGTAGGCGAACTCTCCAAAATGAATGCTTTGAGCTGGAATTTCTGGTATCCCAGCTCAGCGTGGATCTACCGCGAAAGAAAGTCATGGGTTTGAAAGGACAGGCGGCGGTGGTGTGTGTATGTGGGGGTAAGTGTGTCATCTAAAACAAAGGAAAGTCTTATAGTCCTGCCAATACTGTCCTTAGTGAAGCTCTTGCCAGCAGAAGGGGATAGCTTTGGCATTTCTTCTGATTAACACCCTCCCCCATCATCCCAGATGTGGGATACCTATAAAAACTTGAATATAATATAATTATAGTGTAATGATGGCAACACATAAGCGCTAGATTATTATTTCCAATCTATTTTAATGCGCCTGTGACAATTTCATTGAAATGTTCATAAAATTGAAAATTTGGAACTTAATGGGTTAAAAATGAAGCAATCTTTGCCTATGACATTACTGGGTTTTGGGCAGTAAAGAATCCCTCCTAGGTTTTCTAATGGTAGGGTATCACATTGAGGAAGAAGGAAACGGGAGAGAAATGTAGTCTTACCCGGGTGAACTAGCTCAGAAACCCACGTGCGCCTCTTTCGGGCGGCCGGAAGACGCCGCAGTTAGGAGGGACGACCCCAGCGCAGCAAGGGAAGCAGGTGGGGAAGGGAACCCGGGAGCTTTTCTCCCACCGCTTCCTAGGGCTCTAGGCTAGGACCCCTTTTGGCCAGTGCCCTGTGGCTAACCCCTGGAAACGGCGAATTCACCGGTGTCACAGTCACACTGTATTCAGAGTGAATGGCGCCTCCGGGGAGACAAGTGAACGGCGCCCTCCTGCAGTGGAAAAGACGCCGCTCCAGCGGTAGACAGTGTCCGGGGGCCTCTTTCTGCCAGCCTCGGAGGAAGAAAGAGGAGGGGCGGGCAGATCGCCACTGGGCGGGGCGGGCAGCCCGCTAAAGACCCCGGAGGCTGGGGGAAGGGAGCGGGAGCTGGAGGGCCCGAGCCGCATGGAGTCTTCTGCAGACACGCTAGCCAGCGCTGCAGCGCGGGGCCGCGCCCAGGAGGTGCGGGCGCTGCTTGAGGCAGGCGCGCCGCCCAATGCCCCGAATCGGTACGGTCGGAGCCCGATTCAGGTAGGTAAGAGGGTCTGCAGCGGGAGAAGAGGATGGCGGGCAACTTCCGCGGACGGTGTTGGCAGTGGAATCCGAATTAGATAGCTCTTCGTTGGTTTCAGCGAAAAGGTGACGCTTCCTGGGAAATTTTTAGCTGGGGTTTGGTATGGCAGCCTCCTCCTGGTGATTCTGTAGGGGCTCGGGAAGCCCAGGAAGAAATGGGGAGGCCCACGAGTATGGATCTCCAGAATGTTGTGAAGATGGGGTGGGGTGGGGTGCTTATATTAGATTGAGGTATTAGATTGAGATACAAACTTTACAAACATTTATGATAAAAGCGAGTTTTAAAGAAATGTATTTTTAAAATGATCTGCTGGAACACATAGACCCTGAATTGTCTTCCTTGCTGAGGGGGATTTCGTTGGAAATCTACTGCGTATATTTGGAATAAATATCGACTAAAATTATTCAGAAGCAACCACATTTTGTGTTTGTTTTATTTTAACTGAGTGGGGAGATATATGCTTGATGTAGGCACTTAGAAAATAAAGACAAGTATATGAAGATAAACGTTAGTGTGATCTGGCCTAAGATGTCCATTTTGTTATGTACTGTTTTGCTGTATTTAAATTCTTTATATGGTTTAATTTATTTCTGATAGTGTTTTCAATTCCTCATTGTTGCGAGAGAATTCTCATTTCTTCCCTTTATGCTCCAGTTTTATGTTAGTGGGGGAGGGTAGTGGATTTGTTGGGTTTTCTTTGCTTTGCTTTCTTTCTCTCTTTTTCTTTCCTTTTTGCTTTCAGTAAATTCCTAAATATTAAGCTAAAAACCAATTCTGGCAGCCACCACCCAGATTTTTATTCCAAATGGTGACCGTTATTTCTGATTATAAAAAAGAAAATGTATATGAGACAAATGCACATTGAAAAAAAATATTCCTGCATAACAAGACAAAGGAAACTAACTCTACTTGGAACTTCACAAACTGCCCAAATGACTTCCTTCCCTGAAACTATGAAAAATATAATAAATTTTACACACTTTAAAATATGAATATACAAATACAACCAAAATGCTCTAAAACTTAAGATTGTTTGGAATTTGAAGTGTGCAGACATTTTGAGTCTAGAGAGTTTAGGTTGTTGATTGTTTAAGATAAATGTGAATCCTTTAAAAATTATTTGTGCTCATGAATAATAACATCTCTGAAATTTTGTCAGCAGCTTAGAGTTTGACTTTGGAGTCCTAGAATATATTAGAAGAGTCCTTATTTGATTGAATTTTTAAAAGAAAGGAAAAAGAAAATTTGATAATTATATTTGACAATCACTTAGCARGGAGAAGAAAGGGGAAATGATTTTGAATTAATCAAATTCTTGCTTAATACAGAAATACTTAATTTACAGAAAATTTGAAGTACTAAATTCAAGTTAATTTCTTATCAAATGGATTTAGGGACCCTCCAAATATTTCTTTCCTTTTTGCTTTTGGTTGCTATTATGATTTAAATACTCAAATGTGGGTCACTTTTCATCTTTTCATACCATAAAATATGTGGGAAACAATTAAGACCAGTTTTAAGACCAAGATGAAGGATTTCATCAGATACCTGGACAATGCAGTGCAATGTATTTTCTTTCTTTCTGTAGGTATAATTTAGATAACATATTTTCTCCTGTCTTTTTTTGCAAACTAAGTCAGTTTCACTTTCTTTCAAGACAAGATCCAGTAACCATGCTATAATTTATTATGGTTTCTTGATTTAGAAAAATTAATTTGTGTTTTATTGATACAGAATATAACTAAAATAAGTAATTCCTCTTTAGGTAGTCACTGTCCCTGAGCTAATATAACCAGATGATGAATATCCTAAAAAGAATTCTCTACCATACCACCCACCATACAGCACTCAAATTACAAGGTTGCAGTGATTATAGACAACATTTTTAAATTCCTCTTTGGAAATGGCTTTATTTATTCTAAGATGATTTAGGAATCAAGAGTTCAGCATCTCCTTTTCCCAATAACCCTCAAATCATAAAATTGGAAAGTGTTTTTGTTTCCTATTGCTACTATAACAAATTGCCACAAATGTATTGGCTAAAACAAATAAGAAATTGTCCTTTTGTAGTTCTGGAGGCCAGAAGCCAAAAATGGATCCACAGGACTTCTTTCTTTTAGGGGAAGCTATCAAGAGGAATCTGGGTTTCTTGCCTTTTCCGGCTTCTAGTGACTGTCAAGTTTCTTGGCTCAAGGCCCCTGAGTGTTTTCTTTTACCTTTGCTACCCTGCTTATATCTTTGCATTGATCTTGACCCTATTGAAAGGACATTGTTGCTGAGGCTGTAGCTCTGTGGTAAAATGCTTGCCTTGAATGTGTGAGGCACTGGGTTCAATCCTCAGCACCACATAAAAAATAAAGAACTGTGTGTTCATCTACTACTGAAAGGACATTTGTGATTTCATTTGGCCCACACTCAAAATCCAGAATAATTTCCCTCAAGATCATTAATATAAAATCTGGAAATTCCCTTTTGCCCTGTAAAGTAACATATTCACATCTTTTAAGGATTAGGACACTGACACCTTCTGAAAGCATTATTATGTTAGAGGGGCATTATTCAGCTTACCACAGGAAGGAATTTTAGAGATAATCGAATAAGCCTTTTTATTTTATACTTAAAGAACTGACATTTAAACCTCTGTGGTGGCATACACCTATAATCCCGGCTACTCAAGGCAGACATCTGAAACACAAAGATGAGGTAAAGGTCAACCCAGACAATTTAGGAAAGCCTGTCTACAAATGAAAAATAAAGTGGACTGGGGATGTTACTCGGTTTAGAGCACATGCCTAGCATGTGCAAAGATTTGAGTTGGAGCCCAACTACTGCATACATAAGTAAATAAAATAATAAGTAAATAAATAAGTAAATAAAGTTTAACATTCTGGGAAGATAAGATTAACAGAGTTTTGCAAGAATTAAGGGGTATGAGTGTGCTTAAAGTTTTCACTTTTTAATAATTACCACATCTGAGCTTGAATATACAGCAATGTACTATGCAGTCTTTGAGCCTGGCATAATGTCTCTAAATGATAGGGAAAATACAGGAAATTATTCTGTAGTAAAGCCAGTTTGTCTTTTACCCTTTTGTTGTTGCCTATGCCTCTGGCAGCGTCCTGCTTATGGCTAGGGCTCTCTGAAAGGTTGGTGAATATACTGGAGTTTCATGTGTACTGAAAAGTGGAATGGGTAAAATTGGAGGGGAAAAGTTGGTAACTAGAAGCAAATGAAGGGTAGCTAGACACCGCTGACTTATACCCTTGACTGCATGGGGTGGGGGTGAAGCTTCATAAGTAGGGTTTTTTCCCCAACCAGTCCTGCCCATACCATTGCCCAGGCTCTCCCTAATCATTTCTCTCCCGCCCCCTCCCTTTCTCTCCCTCTTCTAGGTAATGATGATGGGCAACACCCGCGTAGCCAGACTACTGCTGCTCCACGGCGCAGAGCCCAACTGCGCAGACCCAGCCACCCTCACCCGACCAGTGCACGACGCGGCCCGGGAGGGTTTCCTGGACACGCTGGTGGCGCTGCACCTGGCAGGGGCGCGGCTGGATGTGCGCGACGTCTGGGGTCGTCTTCCGGTTGACCTCGCAGAGGAGCGGGGCCACCGCGACGTCGCGCAGTATCTGCGCGCGGCGGCAGGGGACACCGAAAGCGGCAGCCCAGCCTGCACGGCCGGAGGGGAGGGTCCCCCAGGTGAGGATAGGTGGACAACAAGCACTTGAACCTGAGAGCCTCTGAAGCTCAGCTCTGTTATTAAAAGGGATAGTTGGGCCCGGGAGAGCAAAGTCGAGGTCTCGCCTAGAGTCACCTTACACAGCTAACCCTGAGACAATCTGTGTGGAAATTGAGCTGCCTCGCGGGAACTGTAGAGAAGATGTAACCCGAAATGAACTCAAGCGTGGGATGGAAGCCCATCCCATAAATCCTCTTCTTATTCACCACCTAAATACCCTGCCTGCAACTCAAGGCCTACTGGGCATTAACATTGTCAACTAGAAGGCTAGAGGTTTAATATATCCGGATTCCTCTCCAAACTAGCTGGTCAGTCGCATACACTCACCAAGTCTCAGTTTTCCCCAATGCATACCTACTTTGAGGGGACACAAGTTCCAAACTCACTTATGCTAGGCATCATCAGGAGATCTGTCAGTTCGGGTGCTTTTGCTTTTATGCATGAAAATCTGGCTCTCTGCCTTATGTGGTAGAGTTTTCCAGAGCTCCTCTAAAAAATTTTGAGGGTACTGAATGGAGACCTTGAAATCTGCACTCTGTAAAAGACAAGTTTTCAGTTTCTTAGAGACTTCATGGAACGAGAAAGGTCCTCCTTGCCTTCCCTTCTGAGACCTCAAAACTTTTATTTTCCCACCAACTCATCCCCTTCACTGTAAGGGAACACTGTAGGATGGAGGACCAATGGCAGCGTTGGTGCGACAATGGAGTAAGAAAGCAGAAGAGCCTAGGAGAGGAAGTAGGTTGTTGAACTGGACCAAACAAATGAATCTGGCAACCCCCTTGTAACCAAACCCAAGATATTTAACCCAAGCACGATTTCCTTTCTTTACTTTCTTCCCTCCCTTTGTTGAACCCTTTGTTGGTTCCTTAAATCCCTCATTCCTTCCCATTCTCTCCAACCCCTCCTCTTCAAATACACATATCCTAGATATCCTTAGGGGGTTGTTCCAGGAACTTCCATGGATACCATATCCTCGATATCCTCGGATGTTCGTGTCCCTTTTAATGCCATGGTATTTGCATATAACTTACACACACACACCCCGCCTATGTATTTTATTTATTTTGCATTGCTGGGATGGAACCCAAGGTCTTACTCTGGTAAACCAAGTCCTCTAAATYGGAGCTGTAACCCTCCACCTGTTTAAGTCTAGAGTGCTTATAATAACTTTTCCGATGGAGATGCTATGTAGACTGTTTTTATACTATGTTGTTTAGAGAATAATGACACCCCACCTCCCAAAGTCTGCACATGTTCAGTACACAAGCAACCATGGTAGACCTAACCACATTTTTCACAGGGAATTAGTTGAATCCAGATAGGGAACACATGAATAAGGAAGATCAACTTAATTCCTTCCCCCCCCCCTTGGGTGTGCCTGCAATTTAAATCAGGTCTTTGAGTGTTCTAGGCGAACTCTATACATCCTTATCCCTGAATGGAATTTTAAAATGAAGATCCTACCACATGATCAGTCCCCTTCTAGATGCTGGGGACACAAAGATGAACAATACCAAACAGATTACATTCCCAGAGCTTACATTCTGGGAAATAGACTTTTTTTTGACAAAAGCATTTTAGCATTTGTCAAACCATTACAATGAATAAGTGAACAGGAGAGACTAAGACTAGAGAACCTGCCTGATGAGAAGAAAGTACTCAAGGGAGACAGCGAGTCAAGCGCAAAGACCGGGGCTCGGGGCTCGAATGATGGTGCGAGTGTTGGCGGACCTAGTGAGCTGGACATGTACAAAAAAGGCAAAAGCTAGATCTGTTAGGAATCTTTTAGATAAAATAAAAGACAGTTCATTTAGTTCTAGAAACAATAGGAAGCCATCAACGGGTTTTGGGGAAGGACGTAGGGACCGAACTATAGAACTGGAAGCGATAGAACCGGAGCTTCTCACCTTGTCAAGCGAGCGACTTCAGAAACTGAAATGCCCTTTGGTCGCGCGAGCTTGCTGGCTAGCTCTGTAACCAAAAGAGGAACAGTGAGAGATGACATTTTCACGCCCGCTGGGCTCCTAGTGTTGTGAGGGTCGAGACYTTGGCATTCGTTATATACTCCTCCCAGCCATTGCCGAGCGCGCAGACCCAAAGTCCGTGCACTCCTGGATCTCACAGGCTCCGGAGTGTGGCGCGGGATGTCAGGCTTTAGAACTGTTGGGCAGATCCTGTGCCCACGGTTGGTGAAAATCGGGAGAAGGTGTACATGAAGACGAAGCCATTTTGAGAAACTTGGTCATAACCGCCAGAATCCCGGGTCTGGGCTGTGAGAGAGGTGGGAGGCACGGACAGCGAGTCTTCGACTAGTTTCTAATGCCAGTTTTCTCTTTATCCTTTACAGATAACCCCGACTTAAAGAATCATTGAGGTCTGAGACACTTAGAGCCTCAATCTACAAAGTTGGAAGAAAGCCCTACGTTTTGCCAAAATTTCTCCTGCTTTCTTATTTCCAACTTTTTAATAAATACAGCTTTTAAAAAACGTGAACTGCTTCTTTACGTGGACCTGGCTTCCCTCTGCCCGAAATTTTCCTTTCTGTTTACATTTATATGTTATTGTAAGAGGTATTTTCTTAAAAAAAAAAAATCCTGCCTTTTCATTGGGCGGGAGTTTTTATGAGTGAGTACCCAGGTCCTGAGGACTTAAGTATGTACTTCCTCTTTCCAAACGAGGCGCGCTGTTACCCCAAATGGCGTTGTTACAGCCATTTAATGAACTGAGAAAGCTCAAAGGGGCTACGTGCCTTTTTTTGATCAAATAGCTGGCAAATTGCAGAGAGAACTCTATTTTTTTTTAAAGAAAGTTTTCATTCGCTCACATTTATTCAGTCTATTTATTTAGGCTCTATTATGGCCCTGCGTCAGAGATATAGAAGGGGTAGGGGACACGGATATCAGCCAATTGGCACACAAAATACATAACCAGAAATTTTGATTTCAATTTCGTTGAATTGCAAAGAAATTTGTGAGATTCATCATTGTTTCAGATAAACGCTGCCGTTAGAGAACAACACAGCTATGCATTATGAGACATCCAGATTTCAGAGATGATAAAAAAAATCAAAAGTCAGGGCTTAGAATAGATGAGATTCGGCTAAAACGAGGAAGGAAAATTCCAGGGAGAATTTTGCTGGACACTAGTATGCTCGGCCTTCGGTTAGGATCCTCTTATTTCGCGAACCTCACTAGGTTTAGGGTATTCCGTTCAGGAGTCAAGTCGAATTTCAACCCCAGCCTAGGAGCCCTTGTCTGCTACTTTCTAAGTCCTAACGTGGCTGGTCTCCCATCTCGGTATCTGCGCTATGGAACTCTGCCGGCAGCGGCTGGCAGCCAGTGTAGAAGAGGGGATGAGGGCGGAGTAGTTCAGATTGCCACTTACCTCTACCAAAAAAGGCAACTCGTGCTTCTCCTCAAAGCAGGGTAATACAGGGACGTGGCTCTGACTTCAATTATATCCAACTGCTTCATCTCAGGTTGGAGCACTATTGCTCTATTATTTATTTATTTTTATTGAGGTGTAATTCACATAACCTAAAATCAATGATTCAAAAATATACAGGTAGGGTGGCATATGCCTGTAATTCCAGTTATTCAGGAAGCTGAGGCAGGAGAATCAGGAGTTCAAGGACAATCTGGGCAACAGGGTAACATAAAATAAATAAATAAGCAAATACAAAAAGAAAACATGAATGCCATTTAATTTATTCAGTGTTGCTCATCCATCAATCTATCACTCTTATCTACTTCTAAAACATCTAAACATCTTCRTGATCACCAAAGGCAATCCCATTTAGCATGCCCATTAAATCCTCCTTGCTTTGCCCTTGGTAGTTGCAAATCTTATTTTGTCTCTACAGATTTACCTATTCTGGACATTTCATGTAAGTGGGCTCATATATGCCGTGACAATTTGTGCCTAGCTGCTTTCACTTAGCACAATGTTTTCAAGATTCATCATCCACATTTCAACATGCATCAATTCTCTTTTTAATGACTGAATCATATCTCATTGTATAAATATACTGGAATTTGTTTATCCATTAATTTGGTGATGAACATTTGAGTCATTTACCTTTCAGCTATTGTGAACAGTTCTGCAATGAATGTGTACAAGTGTCTGAATTTATGTTAATTCTTTTCCATAAATGACTAAGAATAGAATTTTAAGGTCATAAATAATGCTATGGGGCTTTGTTTTATTTTATTTGTAGTATACTGGTGATACCCCATGCCCTTTTAATAAAAAAAAAAAAATTTAAGAGAGAGAGAAGAGAGAAAGAGAGAGAGGAAGAGAGAGAGAGAGAGAGAGAGAGAGAGAGTGTGTGTGTGTGTGTGTCTTTTTTGTAGATGGACACAACACAATGTCTGTCTGTTTGTTTGTTTGTTTAATGTGGTGCTGAGAATCCAACAGGGTCCCACCCTGCTTGGCCAGCGCTCTACCACTGAGCCACAATACCAGCCCCAAATTTTTTTAAATTTTGAAACTGGATTTCACTAAGTTGCCCAGGCTGGCCTTGAACTTTTGATCCTCCTACTTCAGCCTCACTAGTAGCTGTGGTTACAGGCCTTTGCCACCTTGCCCAACAAATAATTCTATGTTTAGCTTTCGGAGAATTCAACATTTTCTACAGTGCTGCACAATTTCATCTAGGTTGTCTAATTTGTTGGCATACCATTTATTCATAATACTGTATTCTCTCATAATCTTTTTTTATTTCTTTAAGGTCACTAGTAATGGCCCCACTGCTCTGYCGTTAAGTCCTCTTGTGGATTCAGCGTCCACTTGGTTGCAAAGTCAATTCGACATTTTTTTTTTGGGGGGGGGGCTTGTTTTTCTGTTTCAGTGGAAGGAAAGGCTCTTGGATCTCCCCACTCTGGGCGTTCGCTGTCACCTATAATTTTTAATTTGG